TGAGAAATATTATTTGAATATAGCACTATATGTAATTTATCAAAACAATTTAATGTAATTTAATTAAATTCATTTGAATTTATAACTCACGATTGCTCAAAAACAGTCCAAATTTATGAAACCTTAAAAAAAAAAAAAAATCAAAAAATAATTTTACTTGCATAAACTCTGATGTGTATTTTGAAGGTCTTAAAGCAATTTGCAAAGTTTTGTTCCCTTACTAAAAACTATGCATTTTTAAAGAAAATTCTAAGTATCTCTTCTGGATCAAAACAGACCAGAATGCATTGAGGGACAAATATAAAATAGACTGAACACAGAATTATGAAAATATCCTTTAAATATGAAACTAAAACCAAAGGGTGACAAATCGCCATCATAAAAAGTGAATTGCTGATTTATTAATTCAACGGATTCATTTAAAATCAAAGTGACCTGCAGATTTTGAACCTGCATACTAGTATACTACTATTTCTGCCTTAAACACATAAGCTTATGTAGTATACAAGTATGCAGTTTTGAATTTAGTAACTTAATGAATGGCTTGATCATCAGCGAAATGGAGAAAAACAGTGCAATATTACGTCTAAACTGAACATAATATTAATATTTTTTACTTATTATCAGTGCTGGGGAAAGTTACTTTTAAAAGTAATGCATTACAATGTTGCGTTACTCCTTAAAAAAGTAACTAATTACGGTACTTAGTTACTTTTTATGGAAAGTAATACGTTATGTTACTTTTGTGTTACTTTTTAAATCTGGACAGGGCTTGCTTGTTTGTTTTTAAAATAAAAAAGTTATATTTTTGGCAAATGTAAAAGCCTTTTCACACCAAAAGTGAAATGAATAAGCCTCAGGCTGAAGGGAAAGTACATTTACGTCCGTACAGTAGAACGCAGAAGACGACATTTCAACACACTTCAGCAATAAACAAAGACACACGAATGTTGTCTAGAGTAATTTGTGCTTATTAGTACGGTTGAACTGGATCATCGAAGGTCAGAAGCAAATAGAATGGGATTAAATACATAAAGTAACTCAGATATTCTCTTGTAAATTAAAAAGTAACGCGTTACTTTACTAGTTACTTGAAAAAAGTAATCGGATTACGTAACTCGCGTTACTTGTAATGCGTTACCCCCAACACTGGTTATTATACACCATTGTATAAAGTATAAAATAGTGATTTTCGTCTGTATTTCTAAACCGGACTGTCGGGTCTGAAAGCGTCCAGCGTTCCTGTTTGATTATGATCCTGATCCTGGACTAAACCACATGTGTTTGTTGACATACCTCTCCTGCAGGATGATCTTGTTCTCCTTCTTCCAGTAGTCTTTAAAGTCGGTGGAGAACTCGTGCCAAACGGAGAAGAAGGTGTTGAGCGAAACCTCTTTCTCTCCGCTCTTGGCCTTCACTGAGAAGAACACGCAGAGCTCCAGGAACCTGCGACACGAACGGATCATGAACAAAGAGGAAAACCTGATTGCAACTAAACACAGCATCATTTTCACAGAGAAGCATCACTGCCATTATAACAGTATATGTGTTTAAACTTCTAGTAGCACAGGATTTACACACTGCAGCTTTAAACTGCATGCATATAAACACAATTGCAAAAAATTATGCTTTACATTTTGTGAGTGTCACCGAGTTGCTTCTCTTGACTTTCCAGCTCCGCTTTTGCTGTAAAAAAAAAGAAATAAAAAAGCAGTTTTGAATGTTTAATTACGTCTTTAAAACAGCTCTGTGTGAGTTTACAGTAATAAAATAAGTAAACTTTTTTTCTAAAGTACAGTCGAGATTCAAAGCAGCTTCAGAAAAGTAAAAAGGGAAATAAGTGTTAATGCTGCAAAATGCAGCTCAACAAAACAGACCCTTTTTTACAGTTAATAATATCATAACGTTTTTTATGTTTTTGGGTTTTTAAATTTTATACTGTGTAAGTAACACTTTTATAAATCTAAATGTGCACGTAGAATAATATTGTAATATTAAATAAAAATATATAGGGGAAAAAACCCTTTAAAAAGGTAAAAGATGAAAAAGTGGCCTTTAATAATGGTTACAAAGTAAATAAATAAATACATGTAACTTTAAAGTTATGAACTTCTAATATTATTTATATATGTACACATTTATACATATGCACATAAATATATATAATATAAATATATTTACACTGCTGTTCAAAAGTTTGGGATCAATAAGATGTGTAATGTTTTTTAAAGTCGTCACTTCTGCTCATCAAGGCTGCATTTATTTGATAAAAAAAAAAAAAGTAATATTGTAAAATATTATTGCAATTTAAAATAATGGTTTTCTATGTGAATCTCTGTTAAACTGTAATGTATTTCTGTGATGCGCAGCTGTATTTTCAGCATCATTACTCCAGTCTTCAGTGTCACATGATCTTCAGAAATCAGTATAATATGCTGATAAACATTTCTGATTATTATCAATGTTGAAAACATTCGTGCTGCACAATATTTCTTTTTTTTTTTTGGGAACCTGTGATACTTTTTTCAGGATTCTTTGATGAATAAAAAGTTAAAAAAAGAACAGGATTTATTCAAAATAGAAATCTTTTGTAAGAACATACACTAGCGTTCAAAAGTTTGGGGTCAGTATTTATTTATATTTTTTTTTTAATAAATGCTTTTATTCAGCAAGGATGTATTAAATTGATAAAAAAAAGTGATAAAGACTTACATTGTTAGAAAATATTTCTATTTGAAATAAACGCTGTTCTTTTTAACTTTATTCATCAAATAATCCTGAAAAAAGTATCACAGGTTCCAAAAATATATATATACAGTATATATTAAGCTGTTTTCAACATTGATAATAATCAGAAATGTTTCTTGAGCAGCAAATCAGCATATTAGAATGATTTCTGAAGATCATGTGACACTGAAGACTGGAGTAATGATGCTGAAAATACAGCTGCGCATCACTGAAATATATTACAGTTTAACAGATATTCACATAGAAAACAGCTGTTTTAAATTAGAATAATATTTCACAATTTTACTGTTTTTTCTGTATTTTTGATTAAATAAATGCAGCCTTGGTGAGCAGAAGAGACTTCTTTAAAACACATTAAAAATCTTACTGATCCCAATCTTTTGAACAGCAGTGTATATATATATATATGGGACGTAACAATATATATAAATATATATATATATAATTAGATAGATAAAACATTACCATTAACATTACTAAACACAATGTGAGGGTGTCTCTAATATGGCGGCTGAAGGAATAACGCAAATTTAACATCTTCGTTCTCAATGCCATTGTTATTTAAGCTAATAGGAACACAAAAAGGATATTTGCTTCAGCGTTCACCGCTGCAGAAGTTTCCCAATCTATGATGACTAACTATTAATTCTGCTTCTGCCACAGAATCCACAGAGAAAGCGGTCCGATCTGACTCTTTCCCAGACAGTCAGACGAGTTCCTCACGTTCATCTGCAGACGCTGAGATCAGATCCGATCAGAGCAGAGGAGCGCTTCATTATCATCATCTCTAAACCCTCAGCAGTGAAACATACTCAGAGGAGTATAACCCTGATCTTCAGCAGCAGCGGATGAGAAATACTCACTTGAACAGGAAACAGAAAGAAGCTGCTGCTTTTGATGTGAAACATGAAAGTGCTGCAGCTCAGAAGAACAGAGTTCAGCTCAAACCAAACTCATTTACTCGTCCTCACGACACACACGGAGATCAGCCGAATCTGTCTGCATATGAAAACGGTGCTGCGCAGACGTCCAGATGCTGACAGACGCGAGAGTGAATGAGATCTGAGATCTACAGCGAGCACACGATCCGTTCCTGCCTTCAGATGAATTACTCCTGTCATAATTAAACTATGTTCACTGACGAGTCACTGCTGAGGACTGAAGCGTCGGAGGGTTTTACTCTGAAACGAACAGATCTCAGGGGCTCAGAGTCATCAGACTCACAGAGTCAGGAAACAGACAGACCCTCACAAAGGTAAAAGATGAAGAATTCAAAAAGGCTTCCTCAGAAGTGCAGGGGTCAGCAGGGGTCACGACTCAAGGTGCCTTTGACAAATTGAGGCCGGTAGTGGTTAAGGGTTCGACACCATGAAAAACCACGAATCCCCCCAAAACACACAGACACACACACACACACTCACTGACACACACTCACTCCAACACACACACTCCAACACACACACACTCCAACACACACACACTCCAACACACACACACTCTCACACACACACACACACACACACTCACACAGTTCTCCTGACAGACAGACGGGTGTGTGTGTGTCAGTGTGTGTGTGTGTGCGTGTGTGCGTGTGTCTGTCTGTCTGTCTGTCTGTCTGTGTGTTAGAGTGTGTGTGTGTGTGTGTGTTAGAGAGTGTGTGTGTGTGTCTGTGTGTTAGAGTGCATGTGTGTGTCTGTCTGTGTCTGTTAGAGTGTTTGTGTGTGTGTGTGTTAGAGTGTCTGTGTGTGTGTTAGAGTGTGTGTGTGTGTGTCTGTGTGTTAGAGTGTGTGTGTGTGTGTTAGAGAGTGTTTGTGTGTGCGTGTGTGTGTCTGTGTGTCTGTCTGTGTCTGTTAGAGTGTTTGTGTGTGTTAGAGTGTCTGTGTGTGTGTTAGAGTGTGTGTGTGTGTGTGAGAGAGAGTGTGTGTGTGTGTGTGTGCGCATCACGTTCACTGCATCATCAGACTCACTCACCTTCACTCACAAACGCCTCCATTCTGTCTTTAAAGGGCTGCAGATGCTCTTCAGTCGAGACCGAGCACACCTTCTCCACCTCCGCAGTGCATGCTGGGAAACATTTACATTCAGAAAATAACCATCAAAAATAATCATGGAATGGAAATGACACACACTGGGCCTCATTCATCAAACACAAAGTTATGACTTTATAAATTGATTCTGCTTGTTTAATGAACAAACCCCCTTCATATTTACATTCAAAATGGCATTTATGAAAAAATATATCAGCATAATAGAATGATTTCTGAAGATCATGTGACACTGAAGACTGGAGTAATGATGCTGAAAATACAGCTGCGCATCACAGAAATAAATTACAGTTTAACAGATATTCATGTAGAAAATAGCTGTTTTAAATTATAATAATATATCACAATTTTACTGTATTTTGAATAAAATAAATGCAGCCTTTAAAAAAAAAAAAAAGGAAAAAAAAAGGAATTATTAAACATGGAAGTCTCACTGGGCCTCATTTCCTACAGAAACTAATTTATGACACTATGAAAAAAAAATTTTTGCAAAAATGTATTCTGCTCATGTTTAATGAATGAAACAAATCAATGCAACTATAAGGCATTAAGATATTAAGATTTGATAAAAATGAACATCATGATTTTCTGTAAAACTGCTTTGAAACAATGTTTAATTAATATATATTATTAATATAGGTTTATAATATTATAATACATTAAATATAAAAACACATTATATATATTAAATATAAAAAAACATTATATATATATTAAATGAAAAACACACACACACACATATACATACATACATATATATATATATATATATATACATACATATTTAATAATTTTTATTTAATATATAATATAAATTATTAAATATTTATTATTTAATATATTGTATTAATGTTATATATTACATTATATATTATATTGTATTATATATATATTTAATTAAAAAAATTCACAATACACTGTTTCAAAGCAGCTTTACAGAAAATCATAATATCTTCATGCCTTATAGTCGCATTGATCAGATTAGAGCTGGACGTTAATGCTAATGCTAACACTCACGATCACAGAATTCTGGAAGTTTTCAGCAGAGGAACGATCATTTTACATGAATTTTCAGGTACGAACGAAACACTGAGTTGTGTTCACGTCTGGAGATCACGCCACACAAACACTCATCCCTCTGCGAGCATCAGCGTCTTTTTACCTCTCAGATCTTTCCGGAGTCTCAGCAGATCTTTAGTTAAGTCCTCAAACTTCATCTGAGAGGACTGAAACAGGTCGTGAGGTTCTGGGAGAGGAAACACACACGTCTCCCTGCCCGCGTCCTGAAACACACACACACACAGACACACACACACGCAGACACACACGCAGACACACACGCAGACACACACGCACGCACACACGCACATGCACGCACGCACGCACACACACAGACACACACACACAACCACACAGACACACAGACACACACACACAACCACACAGACACACACACAACCACACACACACAACCACACACACAACCACACAGACACTGAAGGCTTTCTGAAGATGTTCTATTGTTCCATAAGAGCATCATAAATGAATCTCACCTCATCAAAGTGTCTCAGGTAGTAAGAGGCGATATATGACAGCAGACTCTTACTGTTATCCTGAAAATCACAGGAGAAAACACACGGATTAAATCAAGCAGTTAAGAAGTGTGTGATCGCGTCTAAACTCTGTGTGTGTGTGTGTGTGTGTGTGAGTGAGTGAGTGAGTGTGTGTGTGTCTTACGCTGCTCTTGACATCCTTGAGTTTGGGCAGAATGTCCAGCGTGAAGCCATCCGCCTGACCTCTGGTGCGATTCCCTCCGTTCATGAAGTTCCCAAAGGCCAAAACTAAACCGAGAACCTGCAGCACTCCAGAGCCACTCTGAAGAGTCTGGAGAGAGAAGACCAGAAACCAGACTCAGGGACAAAACCGGACTGCATGTGTGTGTGACGTCTGTTCTCTCTTATCCGTCATTATTGGACAAAACAACCTAAGTGAGTCAAGCTGATTCGATTCAGTGAGCAAGTGAGCTGCCTGACTGATTCACACCAATGATTCCTGTGTTTGATTCACATTAGATTCACCAATTTGATTCAAATGAATCGATACAAAGACTGAACTGGTTTGTTGCCGTATGTTGACTTTTGCATGCAGTCAGACTGCGCAGACGTACCTTGCAGACTCTCTGCAGAATCTGGAGTTTGCGCTGAACAGACGAGATGCATTCAGTGAAGGTCGACTGAAAGAGAATACAGAAGACTCGTCCAGAGAAATCAGGAATCTGGGAGAGCTGATGGAGAAACCTGTGAGCATTAAAAAGATATATTAAAAGCGTTGAACGCCAGGTGTGACAAGGATGTTTTGATCAATAAATTCAATTAGTTCCATGTTTATATGAACTGTGTGTGTGTTTTGAGCCTCACTGTTCAGGTTTGTCCAGAGGTTTGCTTGCTTCTTTGTCTTTTGAGGATTTTATGTTTTTCTCGATTTTCTCCAGCTCGTCTTTCTGGGCTCTCTGAAACCACAAAACAGCATTTCAACACAATCAAACTATAACTTCACAACACAAAAACACTGATGCTTCTGGACAATGAGCTCACAATAAAACAGTGAGAAATGCAGATGTCTGTGCCACACAAGTCAGAATACAGAAG